GAGCTGCGCGAGAAGACGCCGGCGCCCGCCGAGGGCCAGTGCGCCGACTTCGTGAGCTTCTACGGCGGCCTGAGCGAGGTGTCCGAGCGCGCCGAGCTGCTGAGCCGCCTGGCGCAGGGCTTCGGCGTGGACCACGGCCAGGTGGCCGAGCAGAGCGCCGGCGTGCTCCAGCTGCGCCAGCAGCCGCGGGAGGCGGCCGTGCTGCTGCTGGCCGAGGACCGGCTGCGCTACGCGCTCGTGCCGCGCTACCGCGGCCTCTTCCACCACATCAGCAAGCTGGACGGCGGCGTGCGCTTCCTGGTGCAGCTGCGCGCCGACCTGCTGCAGGCGCAGAGCCTCAAGCTGGTGGAGGGGCCGCACGTGCGGGTAAGCGGCCGCCGCGTCCACCCCGGGCCGCGGGGCTTGTGCGTCGTCCGCCTGCAGTGGCCCCGTGCGGCCCTGCCCGCGCTGCGTGCGCTTAACATCCAGCCCGGGCGCGCCGCGGACGTGCTCGCCGTGAAAGCCAGCCCCGAGCCGGCCACCTGTCGGCCTGGCCAGGAATCTGAGAGGCCTTGGCCACAGTCACGTGAACGTCCACCTTGTGTTCGCAAGACACTGTGCTAGAAAGTTCTGTGAGAGGCACGAAGGTGGCCAGCACGTCGGGTCACCACCTGCCCTGAGGCTTCCTGGGCTCTTGGCTGCAGGTCAGGGCTGGGTGCTCGCTTCCAGGCTTCCACCTTAAGACGGGGCGATTGCAAGTTCACTTCCTGCTGCAATCAGAGCTTAATTAGCACAGAGGGTGTGTTCAGTTGCAAATATTGTTAAGTGATGATGAATATGGGGCATGCAGTGCGCCCCCCCCCAGTTCCTTATCCACTGACCTTACTGTTAGCATCATGACCCTACAGGCACTATGCCACCAGGGCTCTGAAACTCTTTTAACATGTTGCTAGGTACCATCAGTCGGAACCACCTGTAGCTGATCCTCCAGTGGGCTGTCAGAGGCCGTAAGTCTCATAGAAGAAAATGGCCCATCTTTCTCCTGCCAAACACGTGGGGGATTCAGACTGCATGCGTTTGGGTTGGCACTGCAGCTCCTTACCACTGGGCCACCAGAGCTCCCTCTTAACATAGCAGAGTTGACTGCTGCTGCTGGTAGCACCAGTGGGCTCCCATTCAGCAGCGAGCATGGCCAGGGACTGGGCAGTGCTTCATTCTGTTGTGCAGCCTCTCTGTGAGTCAGCACCAACTCAACCACACCCACCATCACACTGTTAGTATCCCATGTGAAGAGACCGTGAACTTGCCTTTTAACTGACCAACAAGTCCTATATTTCAGGAAGTTTCTGACATGCAGTGAAGAGGTGTAATTGGCTTGAAACTGGGCAGCTGAGCGCTTACGTTCTGGGCCTTTGAACAGCTTCTCACGTTGGTGTTTGGTTTCCCCATTCACCGCCTTACTCTTGAGGGGAAGAGCTGTATATTTTCTTGTAAAACCAATCGCCTCAGCAGCTCTGGCTCAGCGTGGCCCCTGTGTGTCCGAGCAGAGCCACACTGCGTGGGGTTAGCACCATCAGGCCTTTCTTCAAGGCAAGGACTCAGACCTCAGACTTAAAGTTAGCAGCTGAGTGCTTGGATTGCTGCCCTGGGGATTTCCTGGATCCCCTCTCACAGTCAGAGAAATAGATGGGTGATCATGTGTCCAAGATTCCAGATTAGAAAACAGCTGATCCCTACTCAGATCGGCCTCTGTTCACAGCATCACCAGCGTGCTGTGAGTGGTGTGGTGGGGGCAGAAACTGCTGCCTTCTTGACTGCTTAGCCTTAACCACTGCTCCCCCATGAATACACCACTCCCTTCACATCTAACAGGAACCCTGCAGGACAGACAGTGTAACTGTCCCATTGAGTTTCTGAGGCTGTAAATTGTTTTCTTTATTGGTTTTCCATTCAACTTTTTATTTTTTGTTTTAAAATATTAATTACAGTATCCTCAGTAACTGCACTTCCTACTTCTTCTCTGTGATTCTTATTTCCCTTAATCCTCCATCCTGCCCTTTTTTGACCTTATATGCTTGGCTAGTCTAAGGGGTGAGTGTAGGGAGTAAATCTTTACAAGAGCTAACTGCCTCCACGTTCTCCCTGATGGGTTCTGGCAGCCAACCTGTTAGCCTACCAACACTTAACCCACAGTGCCACCAGGGCTCTTTAGATATATAAAGTTTGGGTATAACCAAGGATGAGAGTCTAATTTTTTTTTTCATTTATTTTTATGTGTGTACCATCAAATTGGATCTGACTGGTACAGGAGGCGATTGTTCCTCCTTCTTCAGCAGAACATCTGGTGGATTTGAACCGTGCACCTCTGGGATTGCGAGAGTCTAATTTTAGAACAGTAAAAAGGTGGTGATTTATTTAAAAGTGGAGTTTCCGAGAAAGACCTTTGGTGCTGTGGATTGATATGTGACTGTTAGGATGAGCTCGAGTGTGTCAGATGGTGAGGCTGGGACAGGGTTCAGATCTGTTCCTAGGGTCACTGTGAGTCTCAGTTGATTGAACAGCACCTAACAACAGCTGTTCTGTTAGATCTTGTGTAGGACCACACACCTTCAGCCATGGCTTCCCCAGGGTTCCCCCGAGAACCCACAGTTGCTACTTGCCCAGGCCCATCTGTGGTGGATTCCTTCTCTGTTGAATAGCTCACCTCCCACCTGTGCTGACACGGCGGTGCACATCCACTGTTTGTTCTAGAGAGGCTGGGTTTGGTCTGTGGTCAGGTGGACTCTCCCCTGAGTCCGGGGCCAGTGATCCCTGGCAGGGTCTCTGGAATTCATTTCTTCGTGCTCAGAAGTGTCAGAACTGGGGGGGGTCACAAAAAAATAAAGAACTAGGGGGTCTCACCCACCCGCAGAACAATAACTTCCAGCACCTGAGTTCCAGGGTCCCTGCCCTCACATCCTCATGCTAGCCTGAGAAGAGCTCTTAACCACCCGCCTCTCCATAGCAGGGAGCGGTGAGTGCATCCTACTCACCTGCTCATTTTATCCTCAGCACATCAGCCCCGGCTGTGGAGTCCGTTCTGACACATAGTGACCCGACAGGACAGAGGCTGTGAATCTGGACAGGAGCAGACCACCACACTTTTTCCCACAGAGCAGCTGGTGGGCTCAGACGTCAGCCTAGTCTCCTTAGCATTCGCCTTGTCTGCAGAACTGAGGGTCACCTGAAGCAGACAGCCCAGTTAGTTGATGGAGGTCTTACCTCGTTTTGCTCTGAAGTTTGATGTGCCCTAGTTGTGATTCTTTTGTCCTTCGGAGACTCTCCACAGTTTCCACTTTTAAGCGACTTGTCATACAGTTACTTCCCGGAGGTGTCAGCAGGCTGTGCTCCGGAAGATTGCAGTGGCCGGTTTGGGCAGGTCACCCAGCAGGCCTCTTTGGTGTTTCCACTGGTTGGACGCGAACCTTCAGCCCCTTGGTTACCAACTGAGGTGGTTCATGACTGGTACCCCCTAGGAGTTGAGTTTTCCCAAGCCAGGGAGCACATCTTCCCCATCAGCCAGTCTTGCTGGCCAGGATCACGGCTCTGAGGCCTTCCTGTGGCTTTTGTGGGGCACACCAGCCATCCAGGACCACACCTTCAGTGACCCCCTTCTCCAGGTTGCTTCCTCATGAATATCTACTGATGCACATCCTGCCTGCAGCTCCCTGCCCCTGGATGTGTTGGCTGTGTGCAGGGACTGAGCCACTGGCAGGCTCCGTCCTGAGCTGACAGGTCCTGAGCTGACCCTGTCGCAGGCCTCATTGAGTCGCATGGATGCAAAGACACTCTTCCTGTCAGTGGCAGGTATGAAGCTATAAGCTGCTTCCATGTCATGTACAGAACAGGGGCCAGAGTGGAGGTCCTGGGGCGCTTAAAAGATCTGTGCTAGACCACTGAGTGGGTCCCTGAGAGCTCCCCCACAGGGCAGAGCGGAACTGGCCCTCGGCTGGTGAAGGCTGCAGGTCCTTATGGAAGCACACCGCCGTGTCCGTCTCCTGTGGAGCAGCTGGTGGGTTCACACCTGTTAGCAGCCCAGAGCTCTTCCCACTGAGCCACCAGGGCTCCTGCTGACCAAGGCAGTGTCGGTTTCAGTTATGCTAGAGGATATTGAGGTTTCCCTAGTGGTGTAGTATGTGACATAACAGGCTGCTCACTGAAAGGTGGGTGGTTCGATTCCACCAATCTCTCTTAGGAGAAAGATGGGCAGCCTCCTCCTGTAAAGATGACGGCACCCTGCTGGAGGGTCTTGGTGAGTCAGGGTCAAGGCCATCGGTCATCCGAGGGGGACAGCTGTGACAGTCAGCTCCCAGAGAGATTCCGTCCTATAGGGTCACTGTCAGAATTGACTTGATGGCAACAGGTGTTTACTAACTAGGAGTGATAGTTGAAACGTAACTGACAGTGCCTCAGAAGAAAGGCCTGGCCGCCTGCATAAGTAATCCTGCCAGGAAAGTTCTGTGGAGCAGCTGTGCTCTGTGACCTGGGTCACCGTGGTGAGGAACTGACCTGAGGGTTTCCAGGTCGGTTCGGGTACCGAGGAGGATCGCTGAGCAGGCAGGGAGGGACCTGGCTAGCAGGTTAGCTGTGTGGTTTTAGCCAAGTCCCTGGGCTCAAGGCCAGCTGCTGCCCTCTGAGAAAGGCCGTAAGGAAGAGGGAGTGTGGAGCTTTGCTGAAACCTGCTCTGTGGCGGTCAGGCACAGTTCCTTTGGCCTGTGCTTTGGCCCAGGGTTGTGGTCATGGGGCCAATGGAAGAATCTGGAAAACTGACCTTGCCTTTAGAACAGCACCCAGGATAGGACGCTGTAGCATGTGACCACCATGCCAGATCACTTTTCTGGGGTATTTTAAGTCCGAGGAAGTTTCTCTTCTCTCCTAGGGACTCCTTAAACTCCAGAGCCAGGCCGGGCCTCTACTGAGGGGAGTTGGCAGAGGTCACACCTGAGTTGTGCTTTCCCACACTGCGAGCTGGTGCTTGAGGATCCTTGGCTCGAGGGCTCATGTGGGGCTGATGTGGGAACAGTAACCTTCACTGCCTCTGGACTTGCGTACCCTCAGAGCCCTCCCACCCCAGGCTGTGGAGAGTGGATGAGCTCAGGCAGGCCAGGAGTGGGGTCACTCTCTTGACTGTGACGTGGAGGACTTGCTTTTAAGTACTCTCTGACCTCTGTTTTTGCATCTCATCTGGTCACTGGATGATGGCTGAATGAGTCCAGATGACGCCAGAGTCCTTGCCTCCGTTACCTGTGGCCAGCTGCCTTGCCACCTGCGTGTTGAGACCTCAAGCCCTCTCCTGGCCTCTACGGCTGCCGCCGAGGTTGGAGCTAAACAGCAGACACTTCTGACCTTTCCCCTGGATTCCCAGTGCTCGTGTTCCAGTGTCACATTTTATAACAGCTGAAAATAGAACAAGGATGCTGGGGGCCTGGCAGTGAGGAACCTGCACTAACCAAACCTTTTCCCTGAGTAGCCCTGAACCCGGGTCATTCTGGCCTTTTCCTAGCACAGATGTGCCGAGGTAGGAATGAAAATGCCCCGGGACCCAGCTGGTCCATTACTGACCACTGGATGCAGGAGTGCCCAGCTTGGCATCCGAGGACCGTGGAATATGGGGCACAAATGAACTGCAGAGCGGTCTGAGCAGCAGGAGAACTCGAGGTTGTGTTTCTCCATTTGCATTCTTTGCAGCAAGGGCCACGGTCCCCAGTAGATGCTGTGAGAATCCCAGGCAAGTCCAGACCATTGGAATGAAGGACAGCAGAGTTTATAGACCTCAGCTTTGCGTTGACTTTTGTCTTCCCCTGCCACTTTCCAGCTCCATCCTTCCACCCTTTCCTTGTCCCATCTGATGATAACCCGTCACGAACCGTCTTCCATGTGGAAGATGTCACTGGATGCTCTGGGAACTGGAGGAATGAATCTGAGATGACGTCTGCTCTGAAGAGCTAGAGCCGAGGAAAGGAGAGGAGATTCACTGTGACGGGGACCCCACAGTTCATAGGAGCCTCCGAGGTCATTGTCTAGTCCCTGCAGCAGCCCTTAATAAAAGCTGCGTCCCTGAGTTCTGCTTTATAGAACACATCAGACTGTGAGCACCTCCGAGGTCGAGGCCCATCTGTCTGTCCCTGCATGGCCCCTGAGGAGAGCCCTCAGGAGTGCCTGCCCATTGGGTCAAGTGGGGCTGTGGCGTTTGGGGCTCCTTCGCGCTGGCCCTAGCTTACTTCCCCAGTTTCCCCGCGAGTCATGGTGTCCCTGTGGTCTGGGCCAGCACTCCAGTGTTTCACTGCTCCGGACGGAGCAAGCCTTTGGGCTGACAGTGCCGCACCTGCAGTGTTTCTCAGAAGGCCAGTTCTCAGTCCTCAGCTTTCACAGTGTGGACAGACCCTGTGAGGGTTACAGCCTTACTCAGCTCTCCCATTATGTTCTGTGTGATCTTTACACAGCCAGTCAAAACGTCAGTTCTGTACCCGACGTACAGTGTTTATATCAGTCGGTACCAGTTCAGTTCTGCTAGTACGTAGTCCATCTGTTGAGTCGCAAACTGGTAGTGGTTTGGATAATAATAGAGTGTCACGGGGAGGGCTGTGGCCAGCAGCCTGGGGCTGTGGATGATTCTGCTCTGAGGTACCCTCAGGGACCCCGATGTCTGCTTTGTTATCGTCTCTCAGGAACCTTCATCCTCAAGTTCCAGCCTGGAAGTTGAGAGGGAAGAACAGAGAAGATGGGCAACGGGCAGGTCCCAGCTGCCTTTCAGGAAGGTTCACAGAAACTGCCCCACGCCACCGCTGCTTTTCACTCACTGCACAGCGTCTGGACAGCCCTGGATGCATTACCATCTTTGTCCTGGATAGCTGTGTGGCTCGCTGAAAAGTGGGGCTACTCTGAATTTTCAAAGAGGAGGAACAGCTCCTGGAGACAGCGGGCTGCCATCTGCTGCTCTCAGAATCTTGCTCTGCTCCAGCCTCGCTGTTAGAAAGCCTTGAGCCTTGCTGATGGGTCTGCACCCCTCCTCCTCTCCACCTTGACCTCTTTACATTCTCACTTGAGAAGTTTCAGTGTGGGTGTGTTATTGATGACAAAATTTAATCAGGTCGTTTTTGGAAATAAGGTACGTGAAACCAGAGTAAGATTCTTTCGTCAAGTCTAAAGTGCAGTGATTGTGAGAGAGAACGTTATTTTGTGTTCACTCGGTAGCTTGTTGGTGAGGAGTAACACTGTCAACCCAGAGGCATGTGGTGCGGCTCTCCCTGTGGCTCTGTGGGAGAGAGATGGTCTGTCTCTTCCCGTGTGAGTCACTGCTCTAGAAACCTAATGGAGGGTCAGCTGTGGGTTTGTGCCAAGTTAACGGTTTGTAACAACATGGTTTTTAAAGGGAGCCCTGGTGGCACAGTTGGGAGGGAATGATGTTAACCCAGAGTCCGAGCCTCTTTATTAGTCTGTATCCGTCCACCAGTGACACGTAGGGAGACGGTTAGGAAGTGCTTTCCATACACTTTACAGCATCACACACCTCAGGGAGGGTTGATCAACTGTGAGCACGTTTCAACTCAACACCGATGAGTTACATTAAAAGTTAAAAAAAAATGCTACCAGTTCACCAATTACCTACGAGGCTTTGAAATGGCTGCCTGCTGGACCCCGGCCACCCGTGGCCACCTGGCCCTTATGGGGCACCTTGGGTGCTAATTCACTGTCTGGTCACTGTGGTCAGTGAAGCAAAACACGGTTGATTTAGACAGCTTAGTTCAGACCTTCCCATTTGGCATCATACGGGGTAAAATGACAGAGCCCAAATGGCAGAAGATGTGAAGACGAACTGATCAGAGCTGTCCGTCAGGAAAAGCTGCAGAAGGAACCCTTTACTCATCTTGCATTCCATCATCATTTTTGGGGGGGCGTGGCGACTCTGGGTGTGTGGGAGGAAAATTTTGCAAATGACATCATGTTTGGAAAAAGTAGAGAATGAGCAAAAAAAGAGGATGACCTTCAACTAAATGGGTTAACATAGTGACCACGGGCACAGCAGAGGACGTGAGGCTGCAAGCCAAGGCAGGGTTTCAATCTGTCACTCACAGGGTCTCTGGTAGGAGCTTGACAACACCTCACAGCAGCAGACACTCTCTGGGGTGTGTGGTGCCGGGGGGAGGGGGGTGCACACACGTGTGCGTGTGCTGTCAGTGAAAATTTAGAGAACAGCTTTTCTATTCAATGATTCATACAGATTTTTATTTGTAGCATTAGTTACAGACCCCACATTAAAACATTGTTCTTCCCTCTCCCTCCCTGTGATTCTGGTTTGCATTCATCCTACCCCTTTCTGTGTCTTCTGAAAGCTCTCACTGGACACATACTGCGTTTGCTCTTGTGTGATTGACTGTTCTAACAAGTGAGTACCTCCCCGGTGTTACTGATTACCCTAAAAGTGTGTCTTTTTATTTGTTTTGGGGATTCCTACTGGTGGTGGCCTAGTGGTAAGGAGTTGTACTGTCAACTCAAAGTTTTGAGGTTCAGATCTACCTGGTGTCTTGTAGGAGAAAGACATTCTCCTGTGCAAGTTACCGTCTCTGAAAAGCTGCTGGAGAGGGTCAGCTCTGGTACATAACAACACTGCTTGCTTAAAGCTGAACCACACGAGTGAGTTTAGTGCCAGGATCAAACAACATCTGAGGGGGCCATAGTCTTGGGGTTCCACCCGTCCGTTAGACCAGTAAGCCTCATTTTTGCGATTGTGAGTTTTGTGCATCTGTATCTCCCACTCATTTTCTCATGTGCACACACGCATGTGTTCTATAAAATGTATAGAACAAGGTGTTTGCTGTTCCAGCATTTGTTTACTGTGCTGTCCACTGCCCGTAACTATGGTCGGTCAGCATATTGTGCTCCCGTCACTGCTGCCCATTTCCAGATTTTTCATCAGCCAGCCACCCACGAGCTCCAGACATGGAATCCTCTCCGCCCCGTCCTGCGTTCTTTGTGGCCAAGGTGGGCTGCTCAGCTGCGATCTGAAGGCGCCTTGTCTCCTTGCAGGAAATGGACGGGGTGCTGAAGAGCATGCTGTCTGAGTGGTTCTCTTCTGGCTTCCTCAACCTCGAGCGGGTCACCTGGCACTCCCCGTGCGAGGTGCTGCAGAAGATCAGTGAGTGAGTATCCACACCCTGCTCCTGACACCAGATGGGGCTGCAGCCACAGACACCCCCAACCCGTGCATCTCCCAGCCAGCCTGCTGCACTCCTCCGTTGTCCTCAGACATGATTGGACCAGCTGCTCCAAGGTCATGGAGAAGGGATGGGCATCTCAGGGGTCTTATTTACACCCTCACATTAAAAGCAAAAAGAGTCCTGGTGGCATAGTGGATTAAAGACCCCCCACCTTGGTGCCCTGTGGTCACGTCTGCTCTGTTCTGTGGGCTTGCTGGGAGATGGCATCAGCTCCCAGGAGAAGGTGGGAGTTGGTTGTCAAAAAGAAGCATACATGCTTGGGCCTTCCCCACGCCCCGTCCTCTGTGTGGTGCAAATTGTCTGCACCCTCTATTTACATCAGTAATTAAAGTGCTGTCATTTCGTCCTAGAATGTCTCCTGTAAAGAAGTCTCTAAAGTGACTGTTGTTGTGTACCATAGAGCCACAGCAGACCCACGGCTGACCCTCCAGTGGGTTTTCAGAGGCAATTTATTGCAAGGGAGGAGATTGCCCATCCTTCTCCCGCAGAGCTGCTGGTGGCCTTGAACTGCGTGCCTTCAGGATTGCAGTTCACCTTCTTGCCACTAGGCCACCAGAGCTCCCTAAAGTGACAGTATTATCCATATTTACAGACTTGTCAAAAAAGTAGCAATTGCCTGGCGCTGGCGCACACCGATCCGTGTGTCAGCAAAGCTGTGCTCTGGGGGTTCTCAGGGACTGACTGTTTCTACAGTGGCTCACCAGGCCATTCTTCTGAAGTGACTCTGGGTGGGCTTGAACCTCCAGCCTTTCTGTTAACAGCAAAGCACTTTGCTGTTTGCATTACCTGGGGAGGGACACAGCTTGTGCCAGATGCGCTGATCACTCAGGGTCTTCACGTTCCCTGTTACCAGGTGGGGTCTCCAGTTTGAGGCTCTCACACTAGAGAACAGTGCAGACTCCGAGGGCTGACCACCAGGTAGTGGTCAGACGGGGAAGCTGGACAGACAGAATGAGACCCACTGTATTTCAGGCCTGCAAAGGCTTGGTGCCTCAGCGATGAAAAGCTTGGCTGGGTCTGTGAGACTCAAATCGCAGGCACAGGTGCTTCCCAAGAGGACCAAACTCCTCCGGCACCGGATTGAAAAACCAGAACACGGTTCAGTGTGAAACGGCCATTGACCGTGATTCCACCCCGTCGGCTGTTTCCCGTGAAAATCGCTTCCTTTGCCTGTTGTCTGTGGCATGGAGTCTGTAGGAGCGCTGCTGAGGCTTTGGGGAGTGAGGTGACTGGGGATCCACGAAGGTCCTGAGCACGTCTCTCGTTTTTGCCCCCAGGTCTGAGGCTGTGCACCCCGTGAGGAGCTGGATGGACATCAAGCGGCGTGTGGGCCCCTACCGCCGGTGCTACTTCTTCTCACACTGCTCCACACCCGAGGAGCCGCTGGTGGTGCTTCACGTGGCGCTGACCAGCGAGGTCACCAGCAACATCCAGGTACGTGGGAGCCAGCCGCCCGGCCGGGAAAGGCTAACTGGGTGTCCTTGATCCTCAGCGCGGCCCTGGCTTTCGAAAAACATGGCTCTGGGATCTGGGGCCTTTGAAGTTAGGTTGTTGAATGTAGCCCCGTGGTGTGTGGCAATCTGGGAAGGGAGCCCCATCTGGATGTGGTGACTGAGATGCGGACAGGAACTGAGATGCGTGACAGGAACCAGGTCAGATGAGGGAAGAGCATGTGTGAAATATTGACAGGGAGTTCCGAAAGGCAGCTGATTGAGAAGGAAGCTGTGGCCCCGTGCTGGTGCTGCTGGGTGGGTGGGCTGGGAGAGGTCTGCCCCATAGATGCACTGGATTCTTGCACAGTAGAGGTGAAGCAGAGGGGACTCTACCCCTTAAACCAAGCCCCAGCCAGTCTTTTCTCCAAAGCATGAAGCAGGCCTAAGGCCTCGGGTTGGATTCCGGGAGTCCTCACCTGAATCCAGCTCCAGCCAACCTCCTCATCTTCCTCCAAGCATGTCCTGACCACTGGCGGGGGGTGAGGGTGGTCTCAGAGCCCCCTCAGAGTCTGCTGAAGTTGGAAGTGGAGAGGGAAATTCACAGACCTGCATTACCAGCAGTTTCAGAAAGCCTGTGGACACGCTATTTCCCCCCCCCCCAACCATCCGTGGCAAAGTCCCTTCTAGGTTATTTCAATGGGTTCTCCCAGTGTAAGCTAGTCCTTGTGATTAAGTAACACATTTTCTCACTAAATATCAAAAATGCTGAGTACCATGCTCCTTCAAAAAATTACCTGTAATGAGACCACAGTCAGCACTTCCTTGAAAGCACCAATGGGAAGGAAGCTAGATGACTGGGAATGGAGCAGCCAGGGTGGGAACAACAATGTCCATGCACAACGGACAGGGCCAGTGTGGCTGAACAATTCGTGTAGCGGTTAGCAGTTGTGGTATAGGACCCTAAACTGTGAACTTTCACTGAAAACACTATAGTATTTTTTTATAAAAGTAAACCATTTGTGTCTGCATTAAAGCAAACTACTCGGTAGCCTCCTGCTAGTTGGCTTTAGAAAGAGACCTTCAGAGGTTTGGGCTGGCCGTCAACCACCAACCCAGGGCAGGGTGGTGGGCAGGTCACCCTCCAGCCCGAGCCACCTTCTCATATTTCTGCGTATTTCCATTGAGAGAGGACAAGAGTGGGCCCCAGCATCAGGAAGGTGCAGAAGAAAGTCATAAAAACACGTAAATGAAGCTACACGGAACTGGGTTTAGAAAATATCTAGAGGGTGGAAAAGGTTGATCTTTGCAGAGAAACGAAAGGAATTTGTGCTCTCTGAACAAAGGTCGAGTGAGTTATCTTTAGCTGTGCAGTGTTAGGTAAGGTTCTGTTTGCACGAAGGCCTGATAAATATTTTTAAAATAAATAAATAAAACGGACACAGATTACACTTCAACAGCATCTGCACGCTAATGTCAAGATGGTAGCTGCACTGCAATCCCAGAGGTGTGCAGTTCAAATCCACCAGATGCTTTGCTGGAGAAGGAGGAACCATCTCCTCCTGTACACACACAAATAATAAAAATAAAATAAATTTAAAAAAAAAAAGATGGTAAAGATACCTAACGAGCCTACAGCCTTGTGGGGGAGGAAATCCTTACCTCTGAAGAGCTTGTAAATAGAGCCAAGGCGTTTGGCTCTGAGGAATCTGACCCTGAACAGCGCCCCTGCCGTGAGACTCCCCTCTGGACTGGGCAGAAGGGCTGAGGTGTGAGCCCTCCTTGTCAATGTCTTCCAGGCCATCGTGAAGGAGTGCCCCTCCTCAGAGACGGAGGACAAGAACAGGATTGTCGCCGCCATGTTCTACTCCATCAGCCTGGCCCAGCAAGGCCTGCAGGGCGTAGAGCTGGGAACCTTCCTCATCAAACGTGTCATAAAGGAGCTACAGGTAAGTGTGGCAAAGGCCAACGCCCCATCTGTCCTCACCTCTGGTCACCTGGCTCGAGTCCAGCCCCTGCGCACTGAGGAACCTGGCAAATGTCGGGTTTCCTAGAGCAACGCTGCGAATAGCAGATTGGAACCTCGCCCTGTCATGTGCGTCCTCACCGTCTCTCAGATGCTCCAGACTCTTGTCACAGTTGGGTTTCTTAATTGGCCATCGGCCCTGCTGGCCTTCCCTCTGGCTCAGGATGTGGAGACAGGAACCAAAGGTGAAGGAGTAGAGAATGCCAGATGTTCCTTGGCACTTCCTCCGAGATTGGAGGGGCGCCACCGAGCCTCCAGGCTCTCTGTTGTCCTGGGTGCCCAGGACAGTTCAGATGCCTTCATGGGGCCCCATGGTCATTGCTAGCAGTACCTGCTTTCACTTTGTTGTGTCCAGTTTGGGTGATGGAGGTCATCCTAATCCTGCCACACACACCCAGCTGCCTCCCCCCATACACACCAGGACTTCCTCCATCCGGGTGACCGTTTAGACCATAGTGTGAAGGGAAGAAGGGTGGCTGTGTCTACGTAACTTGCTCCATGGCATTGTCCTCTGAAAGCACCTCGTAGCTGTGAGGTTCCCAGTCTCCCTCCAGGCCTGGGCACTGACATGCTGCCTTAGACGGGATCTCGGTGCACTATGAGTGCAGTCTCAGAACCAAGTCTCTAACAACACAGGGAGCTCTCTGTAAACACGGGAAAGGGTGTCTTCAGAGTGATGGCTCTGCAGTGAGGAAGCTGGCAGGCCCAGGTCTGTACGGTAGGCAGGAGGCCCCAGGGACTGGTGACCCCACTGTCAGCAGCCAGACAGAAGGCAGGAGCTGGTGAGTCTTAACATATGCAGGTTGGGTGGCAGGCTCCTGGCCCACATGGCAAGAACAGAGAGGTTTACCAGAACTTCCATGTGCCAGGCAGTCCCCTCCCATCAGATCACAGGATGGAAGATAGTTGCATAATATTGAGAATCCTGACATTTATGTGCATCTCCTTAAGCCAAACTTGACCTCTAGTTAAGATCATTATGAAGCCATACTTTACATTAACGAAATACAGTGTACGACCACAGATGTCCCATCCCTGTTGTATTTAATGTTTTTAAGTAAGGGATGAGGGAGGAAGTATTTACCATCTGTATCTTCATGTACGTGCACGCATGCATGTAGGTGCATGTTAAACAAAGATGGAATGCATGTAACAACTAACAGTGGCTGCTTTTGCAGCAGGTCACAAGGCCATAACCACTTAGAACTGCCTTCTTCAGCGCCCGTTCTGTGTTCTCTCTGCCTTGGCAAGCACCTCAGCTCACTGGTTCGTGGCCTGGTGGGCTGACCCTGACCTTCACTCCTGAAGGTCTAGTATCATGTCAGGTTGGCTTCCTGTGGTTTGCATTGACTTGAGTGACAGGCAGTGCAGAGCTGAGACCACCTCACAGGTCTCTGGACTCCAACATGGTCTCCCACCTCCACTGTGTAATATGAGCCAGTTTTCCCTTAGTGACGGCGACTTGTCACCACAGACAGTACAGGAGCTCCCACCTTTGACTGTTGTCCCTGAGGCCTGAGCTGCCCAGAGTAGCCGGTGGGATTGTTACCTCCCACATCAATGGACTGGGCTGGTCTCCAGATGGCAGTATTTTGCCATTTGGAGCTGACCTATCTGAGCACAGGGCGGCAGGGACAGGAAGCAGAAATTTTGCTAGTGGGTCACTCGGGGCCGTAGTCTAGTTCTGCCCCACCAGGAATACTATGAGGGGGTGACTTTGACAAACAAATGTGTACTCTCACAGTTTAGAAAGCTGCAAGTCCACATTCCAGGTGCCAGCTCTGTTATTGTTGTGTGCTGTGAAGATGGAGCTGACACGTAGCTGACCCTCCTAGGGGAAGGCTTTCTCCCTTTGTCAGCTGTTGGAGGAAGGCCCTCACGTCTGGGTATAGGAGGGTCTCAGTGAGGTCCAGATGATGTGCTCCGTCCACTCCCGGTGTGCAGCCTGGTCCCTGTATCCAGCATTATTGATGTGAGGATTTACAACATGTGAGATAATTACATCAAGTCAATCAATGGCACTGGATAACGCACTCCTCTTGTCTACCGTCGCTGAGTACATGGGTGCCTGACCCTACTCCAAGGTTCAGCTTTGGCAAGTCCAGCTCATAGGCCATGTATCCATGTCAGTGGGGTGCAGCCCCTCCTAGAGACTGGCCTCAGGTCCTAGCCATGCCAAAGAATGAGGAAGAGAAGTGTGTGTCCAGCGTTGTCGCTCTGTCGATGAGCACGTGGCCTGCCCAGACCACGCTTGGTGAGTGGGGGGCTGGGGGTTTTCTCCTGTGACCTCCCTGCTGAATCTCTTCTGCCTTGTGTCCTCCTCTCTGCCTCCCCCCACCCCCAGAGGGAGTTCCCGCAGCTGGGGGCGTTTTCCAGCCTGTCCCCCATCCCCGGCTTCACCAAGTGGCTCCTGGGCCAGCTGAGCTCCCAGAAGGAGCACGGGCACAGCCAGCTCTTCTCCGACTCCGAGGCCCAGGAAATCGCAGCAGCCGTGGGTGGGCCCGTCCACGAGACTCTCAAGGCGGTGCTGAGTGGCCACGAGTGGGTGAAGTCGGAGAAGGTGGTGCGGGCACTGCAGGCGCCCCTGACCCGCCTCTGCGCCTGGTACCTGTACGGCGAGAAGCACCGTGGCTACGCCCTCAACCCTGTGGCCAACTTCCACCTGCAGAACGGTGCCGTGCTCTGGCGCATCAACTGGCTGGGCGACCTGAGCCCCAAGGGCATCACCGGCTCCTGCGGCCTGATGGTCAACTACCGCTACTACCTGGACGAGACGGCCACCCACAGCACCGCCTACCTGGGCTCCAAGCACATCAAGGCTTCCGAGCAGGTGCTCAGCCTGGTGGCCCAGCACCAGAAGAACAGCAAGCTGTGAGAGGCCTGGCCACATGGTGGCCCAGGAGGTCTAACACCTGGACAGGGCTCCTGGACGAGGCAAGTCCTGGAGGGCTCATCCGGTGGAGGAAGATCCCAGTTTTCTCCTTCCCGCTGGTCGCACAGGAAGCGTGCAGTGCCAGGACGTGGTGGGCACAGTGGCAGCGGTGCTAGCCCTCGGGCTGGGGGTGGGGAAGCGAGGACTTCCACGGCCCACCCTCACCTCCCACCTGGCTCCTTGCATCCATGGACCAGGCGAGGAGCCCAGGAGAGCAGAGACTTTTCATTGGAGCTTGTAGAAAAGAACCCCAGACAGTTGATATAACCACCTCCTCTGCTGGTGACAAAGGGAGTTGGGCTACGCTGCAGTCTGCTGGTCCTGCTGGAAGATTCCAGAAGTCTGGACAGGGTTATGATCAGGGACTGAGCAGGTGAGTAACTGCTGCTTGGAGCATCACTTGGCTTCTGGTGAAGATCACTGCCATTGGGTTTATGATGAACTGTCAGGCAAAGAACAGTGTGTTCCATTATCAATAAACGGTTACTTGACACCATTGTGTTGGCGTCTGTTAGTCCATCCGGGACGTCAGTGGGTCTGGACGTGGGGCTGCCCTGTGACGAGGCCAGGTCTTCAGAGGGGCATGCAGAATGGCAGGAGAGCTAGGGGCTTGGGGCTTTGGGAAGGAGAAGGGAGGGGGGCGTGCTGTGCATGTGTGTCAACACAGGGAGCTAAGACTGTGATATGTGGGGTCCATGTGTGTCTGTGGGATGTGTGTTTCCCTGAGCGCTTCCAGCTAGCTCTTTCCTGAGCTGTTCTGAGTCAGAATCTGAGTCCTTCCTGATGAGGAGTCCGTGAGTCAGAATCCACTCATTCCTGAACTGTCATTGTATGTGACCTGATAGGCGTGGACACCTGGGGTCTGGGCAGTCACCTGGACAATGGCAGTTACAGCCTCCTGGATGGCCAGTGGTGACAGGTCTGCTGGCCGAGCTGAAGCTGTCATTTGTGACCTGGTGGACAGACCAGGTAGTGACCGCTGCACGCTTCCTCTTTGTCCCCCTCCCATGCAGTCTCCTTGGGTGCTGTAGCTGCGGGTGGCTACCCTTGGTATCGTGCGTGCCAGCCTTCTCCTGGGCTTCATGGTTTATTTTATCTTCTGGAATGAGAGGAGTTAACCTGCCAGCAATCCCTATATGCCAGGACACCAAGCGACGAGGCCCTGAACCCTCCGTTTCCACTGCCTCAGATTCTCCTAATGTGTGCACACACATCAAGGTGGACGCGGGCCGAGGCCATCCTCGCCTCGCTCTTCTGCCCCTCACAGGCAGCGTGCGTTCCACAAAGGCTGGTACCAGCCCTGCACCCAGTGAGTCCGGCAGTGCTACTTTTCTAGCAGCACGTGTTCCCTTTGTGTCTCGGTCACGTTTTGGTCGTTCTCACAGTGGCCCTCCGTTAGGCTGTGCTGACCTGCAAGTTCTCCTTCACGCTGTTTTTAGGAGAGCAAACCCACAGCCATGCAGGGAGTCCACCTGCCAGTGAGCCTGTGGGACGAAGCAAAGGCCCTCTACGGCTTCCGAGGCAGTAGTATTTCACAGAAACAGCTGTCGCATTGTTTCCCCATTAAGTGGCTGGTGGGTTCAAACCACCAGCCTTTCAGTTCGGCTTTGCTGAGCTCCCCTGTGCACCACCGGCCCAGGCCCTGCTCGCTGAGTGGTACTCCACTTTCAGACCTGCCTTCCAGCCTGTCCAGCTGGTGCTGGGGCCTCAGGCCTGAACGCACTGAGCTGCCCCACTGCCCCTCTCTCCCACAGTCCCGCCCTCTGGATCTGCCAGTCCTCAGTGATAGGTCAAGGGGAAGCAGGAGTTGCAGGCCTCAATCCCTTGGTCATCCAGAGCCTGGAATCCCAAGTACCAGGCAGGCCACTTCCGGTTCCTCCCCTGTACCAGTCAGGTCCTGCTCTCAGACACCCCATATCTTGTCACAGTAGAACGTGTTCCCCGGGTTTCCAACAGAAGCGGGTAGCTGGCCTTTCTTCTGAGATGTAACCAGGGAGACTCAGACTCCAAGCCTTTCCATTAGCAGCCAAGTGTTCATACTCCTCGGGCCTCCTACGTGGTACGTGGCTTAACGAGAGAAGAAGCTCTTAGTGTTGTGGGCTGATACCAGAGGTTGTGAGGATGGCACAGGAGAGAGAGGACAGGGTCCTGACTGGTCGTTCATGGGGTTACCATGTTGACTGGGTGGCACCAAATAATAACAGCTGGTCTTGAGGGGAGCTCTTGTGACTGGTCATTAGGAAATGACACTGCTTACCCAGAGGCCAAGCGGTTCAAATCCGGCAGAGGCTCCAATGGCAATCTCCTCCCTTGTGATTTCCAGCTGGGTGGTCCAGTGGCAGGGCGGCTGTGAGTCAGTTCTGACTAGCCGTGAGTCTGAGCTCGTTGGGCTTTGCTGGAAATTTAAGTGTAAGGTGTATTTCTGACTGAAATGGAGAATGCAACTCATTATGATATTTTAGTTGGACTTTAAAGGCTTTCCTTGGGATCTGAAGTCTGTCTGGGCATCTGTTCTTAGAAACCAAAGCTGCTGACAATCATTGTTGAGTAGTAGTTTGTGGCGACTACCCCCTGATCATGGTTCTGTCCCACAGTGTGTCCACTTCCTGCATTGCTGCTGTAGGTCACACCTCCAGTCACGGCTTCCCTGGCCCCTCGCCCTTCCGGCTTCACTCGAGCTGCTGCTGGCTGACAGGCTGCCTCACAATTCCTTCTGCGCCCAGGAACGTTCCTGCGTCCTCAGCCATTAGTGACGTTGCAGCCTGGCCTCAGGCTCCTGTTCAGTCTGTAGCTGCGTCCCACGATGCCCTTGCGTTCCTGGTCTCCCCCTATTCTTTACCATCGGGCAGGAGAAAAGGAAAGAGCTTGCCATGGACGCTCGCGCCCATCCTGCGCCAGGTAGGGTGTCTCCTGGGGCTCAGAAAGGGTTGAGCAGCCCTTGAGGGGCCAAGCCGGGCCAGCAGGCTGAGTGGGCAGCAAAGCTTGTGTTTTCCCCACGAATCTGATCTGCTGCAGGAACGGTGTCCCCCTCCCAGAGGCCAGAGCACTGTTCCATCTGACCACACGGAGGAGAGGGTCTGAGAGTAACCTGCTGAGTGGCCAGGAGGTGGGCAAGTGTACGGACTCTCTGAGGCTTGCCCAGGGCTGGGATCTGGTTGGATCTCCTCTGGAGTCAGCACCGTCAGTGTGAGGGCCCAAGCCCAGCAATGGGGCACCTCCTTTAGAGAGTCCAGACCTCTGCCCCATCGGGTGTAGGGCAGCCCAGGCCTCACAGGGCATGGACACATAGCGGGGTCTGCTGCCCCCCTGATCCGGGTTCCAGCTTTCATGGGGACCTACTGCATCATCTACCCCCATTCCTGTGACCCACACAGCACATTCTCAATTTGATGAGCTCAGTAGTGAAGTGGGGGGACCTGGGAGCCCACAGTCACTTGGCTCTCAGAGGAGAAGCCAGAACACTGGTCTGCAGAGCTGTCCCTCCCAGGGCTGGAAGAGGACTGAAGGGGACAGGGACCTGGCCAGCCTTCTTCTGGAACAAGGGGAGAGGAGGGAATCCTGCAGGGGTAACAGGGCCAGGGCTGGAGATACATGATTCTCGGGCCACTGTCCTCGGATCAGACAATTCTGATGATGTAAATGTCAGGTGCTCAGATTGGAACCTGCAGACCCCCAACTCAGATCCCCTGTCCTCCAATCAGTTCCAGTTCAGCTCTGTTGTTCTGCCATCAAGTGAGAACTGACCCACAGCTGACCCTCCTGTGGTTGTTCAGAGGTAGTAACTCACAGGGGAGGACAGTGTCCATCCTCCTGCAGAGCCGCTGGTGGTTACGAACCACGTGTGTTTGAGATTGCAGCGCAATTCTTAACTTAGGCCATCAGCACTGCCTTTAGGACACCCTATAGCACTGATCCAGGCCATGGTCTTTGCAATCACTTGCTATGCATCAGATCTAGACAATGACTAGGGAGGAGAGAAGGAGAATCGATGTCTTTGAGCTGTGGTGCTGGAGAAGAGTGATGAATATGCCATGGACTGCTAGGTGAACAAACAGGTTCGTCCTGGAGAGGGTGAAACCAGGGAGCTTCTTGGAGGCAAGGATTCTGAGGCTTCGTCTGACATACTTTGGACATGTTGCAAGGAGGGACCAGTGCTTGCAGAGCGAGCGACGTCATGCTTGGGAGGGTGGAGAGACAGCACAGGAGAGGAAGACCCTGGATGAGATGGATCGATTCAGTCACTGGGGTAATAGGGGTTGGAGTGTCAGGGACAATAATATTGGCACAGGATAGAGCAGGGTTTAGGGCTGTTGTACATAGGGTCGCTGTGAGTCGCAGGCGACTCGATGGCACATAACAACATAGCACAGAAGAGAGCTGCTCCCCTAGGATTTCCCATCCCTACAGAAGCACACTGCTTCTGCCTCCTCCCGTGGAGCCGGTGGTTCAGGTGCCCATCTGGGGGTCAGCGCCCAAGTGTTTCAACCACCATGCCCCCAGGGCTCCTCCTGCAGATCTGTCTGCAGCACTTGGTGGCACGGTGCCCCCATGTGCCCACTAGATGGCAGTGCCACATCTCTGACCACTTCGTGCCTTGTCAACTTGGACCACGCGTGTTCAGCCATCTGGACCTGACTCAGAGTCCCCAGAGGCCATGCATGCAACAAGAAGTGAGGCTGCCCCACCCCACTGAGGCTCCAGTCACAGCCACAGTCGCCTTGGGAGGGGCAGCCACGCGGCTGTTTGGAGCTAGGGCTCTGAAGCTCTTGGTTCAGGCAGAGAAGCACTTCTCAAGCCCACCAAGCTGAGGGCTCAGCTACCCCAGTCTTCAGTCACTGACATGTTATATCACAGCACCCACATAGGCAGCACTTGTTGATACGCAGGAGTTCCAGCAGAACCTAATGGGATGGGAACCTCACCCTTGCAGCCTTCCAGGCAGA